GTAAAACGGCATTCCCTAGTCACGCTGGCCACGTGACAAGGGGAACTGTCTTCGGACAAGCGCTGGCTCTACGGCTTGAAAAACGGGATGAGCACCGCCCCCTAGAGCCGGACACGACTGGACTAAAAATGTCAAGGGGAACCTTTGCCTTTACCTAGTCCTTCAAAAGGAATTCATTCATTCATTCTTTTAGCCTATCTTTCTCCTTAAAAAGGACCCAAGATGGCTTACATCACTAAAATACCGTATTCAAAGCTAAAAACATAAGTATACAAATACTAAAAAGATTCAAATAAATGCCATACAGTACTAAAAGATGGCAAACAAAAGCACCATCAAAAGCAAATCCAAAGCAGTAAGTCTCAACCATCCATTAAAAAAATCCCACTCAGGTAAACAATCACTAAGGGAAAAGAATAGTGCTGTGACAGTAATGGAAGCAGGAGCCAAGTTGTTTAGGACTATAAAGTCCTAAATAGTAAGTTAGAACCAGCACTTTCAATTCTGCCTGAAACTGGATCGGCAACCAGTGGAGCTGCTGTAACGGGGATGGGGGTTATGTGATCCCTGTGACCAGCCCTGGTTAGCAATCTGGCTGCCGCATTTTGGATCTGCTGAACTTTCCTGAGACTTTACAGAGGTAGCCCCACATGGATTGTGTTACAGTGATGTAGCCAGGATGTAATTGAGGTACAGTGGTGCCTCGCACAACGGGTGCCTCACACAACGATGAATTCACACAACGATGCCTTTTTCTGTTAAATTTGCCGCCTCACACAGCGATGTTTCCTATGGGGGATTTTCACACAACGATGTCTCTTTTTCGTTCCTGTAAAAGTGTCTTACAATGTTTGGAAGCCGTTTTAAATGGTTGCAATGGTTAGCCCACCTCCTGAAACCTATGCAAACTTAATTTGGTGTTGTTCTGACACTTCGTTAATTTATGGTAAAACAACACCAAAATCAGTTTGCATAGGGTTCAGGAGGTGGGCTAACCAGTGCAAGCATTTAAAACAGCTTCCAGACATTGTAAGATACTTTTACAGGAGTGAAAAGGGAGATCGGGAGGCGCTTTAAAAGGCAAACGGAGATCAAAGAGCCCTTTCTCGATCTCCCTTTTCGCTCCTGTAAACATGTCTTACAATGTTTGGAAGCTGTTTTAAATGCTTGCACTGGTTAGCCCACCTCCTGAAACCTATGCAAACTGATTTTGGTGTTGTTCTGACACTTCGTTAATTTATGATGATTTTTTGTTTTCTCCATTGGAAACCATTAGACAGACCATTCAATAGTTTTCAATGGAGAAAACAAAAAATTACCATAAATTAACGAAGTGTCAGAACAACATCAAATTAAGTTTGCCTAGGTTTCAGGAGGCGGGCTAACCATTGCAAGCATTTAAAACAGCTTCGAAACATAGTAAGACACTTTTACAGGAGCGAAAAAGGACTTTGCAAAGCCATTGAAATGTATTGAGTCGGCTTCAATACATTCCAATGGAGGAAACATTGTTTCACACAGCGATGTTTCCTATGGGGATTTTCACTCAGCGATGGCAATCCGTTCCAATTGGAACAGATTAACCGGTTTTCAATGCATTCCTATGGGAAATGGTGTTTCACAGAACAATGTTTCACACAACGTTGATTTTTTTGGAACCAATTAACATCGTTGTGTGAGGCACCACTGTATATGTTACTGTGGCTAGATCAGGCCTCTCCAGGAATAGGCACAGCTGGTGCATTAGTTTTAAATGTGCCAATGCACTCCTGGCCACTGCAGTTTTACAATGTAAAACTGACCCCAAACAGTAAGGGAGCTACTGAGGCAAGAAACCTCTGTACTGAAAATGCAAGCTCCAGATAATTGGAAATGGAGAGAGAATTTCATTGTCTTCGTCTTTTGGATTTGTACAAATAGAATGTTTCCACAGAACTCTTGGTAACAGTTTGTTCCCTTCTCCAGTTGTAGCAATTATTACTTAAATGTGTTAACAACTGAAAAGTAATGTACTAGAAAATACATGACTCTTTTATGGACTATTATACATTTCTCTTTTACCAACTTGATTGCATTGCTGAAACAACTAATCAGGACAAGGTTGTCTCCCCTCCCCCACTGTGAAAATGTAACATATATCAAACTCTTCACTAAGAGTACAGCAGAGTTTAGCATGATTTTTAAAAATTGGGAATTTGTGCTTGAATAGAATTGTGTCCGTTGACCTATATTGGTGAATCAGTTAAGAATCTGAAGGCAAGTAAATCCATTGTGAAGGGGAGTTATGTAAGTCAACACACTACAAATAAAGATAGGTTTCTTTGCTCCAGTTCTGTCTTTCCCTGGGGCTGTGGGGGGAGACACGTTTATTATTTGTTCTCAAAATTCAGGCCGAGGGATGATGATTAATCAGTTAATGGAATTAGTAAGACTGAAGTTGCAAACCTATATGCAGTTGTGTTCTTCTAAGGCAAAGATGAACAAGATTGTGCTATTAATTATTTGAACTGCAGTCCATTATGCACTTAGGAGTAAATCCCAGTGAGGTTTATTTCTGGAAATATGCTTAGGATTAGGGATGTGCCATTGGGGTTTAATTCTGTTGTTTTTGTTTTGTTATTGTTGTTTTATTTTGGTGCTGTTTGTTTTTGGTACTACAAAACCTAGAATTATCTATGCTGGGAGTCCCATCTGACAGATGTCTACATGTGACTCACCTGGGAGGAAGGCCTAAACTGGAAGAATTCTGGCTCTTGTAGAAAAACAGAAGGCATGTGCTACAGTTCCTACTTAGGATAGCACTGTAAAACAAGTTGCACTTCACATGTGCAAACTAAAAACACTTGTGAATGTTGAATTAATGTGTTCAGTTTGTGCTGAGATAATATTATATAATACTGTACAGTAAATGAATATAAGAGGTACGCAGTGTGGTCTAGTGGATAGACTGATAGACTAAGACTCAGGAGGCCTGGATTCAAATCCCTGATCAGTCATGGAAGGTCACTGGGGGAGTGGAACTGGGAAAGCCACTCCTTAAATATCTCACCTGGAAAACTCTATTAGGGTCAGTATAAGTTAGTTACAACTTGATGGTACGTAAGAACAAATGAATATAATATAGTTATAAAATATAATGATATATAACGTAATATGTAGTAGATAATATACAAGATACACAATATACTATTGAATAAGAAAAGGAAAAAAGAGGGAAAATAAATGTACTAAAATAATGTGATTTCCCAGTGCATTTTAGTAACACCGTTTGATAGCAGTCTCCCCACCCAGGAAGCAGAGGGAAACCAGTTCACTCCAAATGAACTTATAATCTGATAAATAAAATGTATGTACAGGTATTATATACACCAGTATATAAAAAGCAGCAACCTCTCTATTGCAATTATCCAAAGAAGTTTGTTGTGCAAACATAGTAGTTTTCTATGCAGTTTCTACTTCTGCACACCCGTGAGGGGTTTCTCTACCTTTTAAAAATTTTTCTGGTTTTCCTTTTCTCCTAGCTGTATATCAAGAAAGGTGAACATTGCCTTCCAGATGTTGCTATACAGCTCCTATCAGCCTTAGCCAGCAGTCAGTGCAGAATAATAGGAGCTGCAGGCTAAAAATTCCTGAAGGGCACATATTCCTCATCCCTACCACATTCTTTCTATATCACCTTTATCTGAAATATTTTTTTAAACATTTAATGCAATTGAGGGTTGTTTGCCTTTGCAAAGAACATTTCTGTTAATACATCTTGATCTGATATGCATATGTATCTCTGCCATAGATTATACCGGTTGGTTGGGGCATTTTACTGATCCAGATGTTTCCCCCCTATATTGGATCTTGGTTGCTAAAAATTAATAAATGTGTGGCTTTTAGAGACTGTTCAAACCTCTCCATAAGGATAGGTCATTGAGTTGGACACCCAGGGAATGGGTTGCTGCAACTGGGAACTTGGGCAGATGCCAAGGGAATAGTAATGGTCCTTCAAAATACACCTGATCTTCATTCCAGAATCCTGCGGGGTGTGTGTGTGTGGGTGCACATGCCCATACATAAAGTAGATTTATTTTGCACAGTTCATAACCCATCTTTCCCACTAAAACCTAGCAGTATGCAAAATAAAAATGGGGAATTCCAGTGACTTTTGCAACATGTGATATGTAGGGTACTGGATCACATCAGGGTCAGAAGATTATGCAATTAATCCATTTTTAGAATAGGTGCTCCCTCAAGTACAGCAGGACAACCACGCCATATCTGCAGGACTGGTACCCACAGTTTCACTTTCCTGCGCTTTTCTGCAGTTCTATATACAACATACAAGGGTACCCCTTGTGGCCTTCGTCCCATCTCCTCATATGTTATGTGTATAGGATTCCTATATCCACAGTAGATTGTGGAACTGGTCCCCTGTGGGTTATGGGAGCCCTATCACAATGAAAGATGTCTGTAAGAACATGTAGTTTTCCTTGCCTGTTGCATTTAGTGTACTTTGTTTTGCAATTGGTTATTGGGAGGTAAATGCTTGTTTTGCAAGGCTGATTGCTAAAGTCCATGTCTATAAGGGAAACTCGTGGGAGGTAAAAGTGGACAATCACCTGGTATAGACACTGTCTTTAATGTAAACTGCCAAGTTAAGAAATCTCCATAGGCGTTATTTGTTGGATGCCAAATTGCACAATCACTTACGCGAAGATAATGCCTACAGCAGTTCACCATCAAAATGTACACTTTGTGCATATTTGAGCCATTGTGAAATAAATAATGTGAATGGTCTACAATTTGTGTTCATTGCTGTAAGGCAACTGTAACGGTCATAAATGGCTTTACTGTATTAGTTATTTACCAGCAGAGAGAGCATTGGTGGGCTTTTCTTTTTTTAAAAAAGGAAATACTCACTAATATACATGGAAATACAATGTAGCTGCATAAGTTTCTGGGATAAGTACTTCATTTTGTTTAATTTCTGATTGCATGCTTTTTAATTACAGACTTTAAAAAATTCAAAAAGTCTCTGCTCTCTTGATTATGAGGATGATGACAATGATGAGGCACAGATGAAGACCATAGTCTCCTCTCCATGTGACTCGGATGATTTTCTGAACGTAGTCACCCCTAGTTTCAGCCTAGAGAAAGAACAGCCAAATGATGGCTGGCATCCTGGTTCACAGCAAGCCAGCTTCAGCACAAGAGATTCTGTGGAAGGGGCTGCCATGTGTGAGAGTGAAGATGAAACCAGTGACTGTGAGAGCACTGAAGAAGGCATCTTTCCTCTGGACTGTGAGGCCTTAGATTTAGAGCAGATTGAAAATAACTGAGCAAGAGGTGCGCTAAAACCTGGACTTGCATTTTGTACCAGAAGGGCGGTGGGCTCTGATGTTACATCCCTAAGTTTCCACAATGTGTGCAAGCTGCCTGCAGCTTAGGTGAGAAGTCACGTTTCTAGTGAAGGTAATAATAACTGTAGAAGGAGGCAACATGTTGAGAAATCATTTGGATGTAGACACAACTCCTATTACATGTCTTATGGTTCTTTCCTTTCCACTGCTAGAAAGTTCATTCTATGGAAACCCATGGCTGGAAAAGGCATTCAGTGCTGCAGTTTGGCTGCAGTGATTCTGTTGAGCGTTTATTAGGCTCATTACTAAATAGAAGGTAAGTTACTTAATCAAATCACGAATGAACTCTACAGCATTTGATCCAAAACAGGTCACTGCTTTGTGCAGTGTGTACTTTGGAATTTCATGCAGGGATGGCTCTCCATACAAGTGGAAGCCTGGCTTACATGGCAGTCACACCCTGAATGTCCTTTGGTTTGTTCTTGCCTTTCTTGACCGGGTTATAAATCGGATGTGAGCCAGAAGAGTTCAGTGCCACACTTGTTGACCACAGGAGCCCTTCTTAGAGTTACATAGTGACAAGGATCTTTGCAGCCCTGCGTAGCTGAATACTTTTGTACCTTCAGATTATGAGGAAGCACAGAAGGTGTAAGAATGTTTATCTGTAAACAAATGTTGACAAATAGCAGTTTCTGTGAACTAAAACTACCAAAACATGGTGGAAGCTATATTTGATAGTTTCCATCTTCGTTTATCTGTAAACAAATGTTGACAAATAGTTTCTGTGAACTGAAACTACCAAAACGTTGTGAATGATCTATTTGAGAGTTTCCATCTTAAACTATCTAGTAGCCTGAAGCAGAGCTACCTGAAGCCTCCTTCAGGCATTTTCTCTGTTTAAAGGAGGGGGAATCAAACTAACTCTGTCCCCCTCTGTTGCCAGATCTGGCACCTGGAAAGTGATGCTCTGAACTGGAGAACCTCCTGTAGCCATGGAGGCGCTTCACCCACTTTGAAGCCCTGCGTTCTGAAATGGATGGAGAGCCTTCATTGTATAGCAGTGGCTCTCCTCTTCAGACTGCTGCTGTTTGGGAGATGGAACTGGTAGCAGATGAGGACAGAGTGAGCATACTCTCCCTCCCACCCATGGCTTGCATTTTGAGGAGTAGAGCATGCCTGAAGGAGACTTCAGTGGACTGGCCTCTGCCTACTGCCTTGGTCATGTTTTCTGTGGATAAGAATGTAGGACAAAAGCACTTGAACCTCTGCAAAGGGACTTTGGAATGGTAAGTTCCTCAAGAAATCACCCTGTCAGCAATACTAGTTCTTGAATTAAATTACATTTTGCATTTCAGTTTGGTTTGAATTGTAATTATTGTTAAGTCACATCTTGTGTTCTATGTAGGTTTCAGTTCTGTAAATTGACGGTCACATGGGTGACATGGTACAGACAAGATTTCTTCTAATTTCCACCCCTGCTGGGTGGGGCTCTGTCCATCTCGCACACGACTCCCCCCCCCTGCATGGGGTTCTGTGGTGACCAGAACAAAAGGGGCTGGAAATTCTTTCTGTGGGTGCGCGGAGGCAGAGGAAAGCTGCATAGAGCAGGGACCAAGTCACACGCAGGGGAAACTGGGGTTTTCAGTATCCGCTGATAGGAGAGGAGTTTGTTAGGAATAAATTATAACTTATAAGCAGCTCTGCAGATTCATTGCTTTGGGAAACACCAGTGTTGAATAATGCAATGAATATATCACATGCCTGTTTGGGAGCTGCATATGAGCCAAGGGCTTGAACCGCTGTATGCTTACAGGAGTGTTAATAATCGGAGCTGCATATGAGCCAAGGGCTTGAACCATAGGAGTGTTAATAATAATCTTAGAACTGCAGAGCAGAAATGCATGTGTTGCTTTGAGAGAGGAGTCTGGTTCATCCAAAAGAGATGGAAGCCCTACCGGTCCTAAAGCAAGGTGGAACCTTCCATTTCCTCAGGCATTATGCCAGATGTGTGGGACAGACAGATGAATGCTGGTCACCTTTTGTTTTTCCTGTAAGCATCTCGGAGGCATTTGGATGATCACTGTTTTGGTCTTCCATGGAGGCAAATGGACTGCAGAGGTCTGTAAACAGTACAAGGCAGAGTTCCCATGAGCCCAAAATAAAGTATCAACCAAGCAATTGTTTGTCCTCTGCCTTCTCCCAAAAGAAAATCAGAGGAAAGATCCTAGTTTTCTCGCATTGGTGCCTGTAGGGAACTCTCAGTTGATGCTGCCCAGTCCTAGGAAATACTTGATCCTTGGTTCACCTCTGTTTAAGAGTCAAAGTATATGATACAATTAGTACCTTTTTATAAAGGCACTCCTTCAAGTGATGAAAGCTCATATGTGCTTTTCCTCACCTATGCATTTTGCATCTTGTGTGCTTTTCTGATTGGTCATCGGAAGAGTTGTGTAGGCTTCATTAGCAAGTTTGAGGTATCTTTAAGGAAATCTGTTGTTGGAAGGAAAATGAGTTAATTGTAGGGGATGCACATTTTTCTTAGTATTTAATTTGATACAACAGTTGTGCAAAATGTGAAACTGGTGGATACTAAATTTGAAGAAAGGAAAATTGCTGTCCAGTTAGAATTGCCTCGCTGTGAGCCAGCTTAACTTGCTTTTACTACACCACAAGACACTTCAAACAGTGCATTTATTGTTCTGGTTTTCAAACTAAAATGTTCTCTTCTGGACAAGGAAGCTGCAAGGAGGATGTCCCATGATTACTCCCCACGGATTTGTGTTCTGAGTAAAGAGCAGTTAGTACCACCTACATTTTACAACGACCATCAGGGGGTCCTGAGTCAAGTAACATCAGTGCTGTATGTAACACATGTTTTTCCAAGTTGTGGCAGTATCTTTGTGAGTGGTCACTGATGGGTGCAGAATACATTTAATTTACTATAGAAGACTTACACAAGATGTTATGAGTGCATATCTAACCCCATTAAATTTGGGTTGGAGCTGGTGTGAGCCTGAACTGGTGAAAGGTATTTCAAGCTGTAGAGGCCACTTGCATCTCCAGAGAGAAGACTAGATGTAATGCTGCCCTCTATCTAATGCAAGCCTGGTTTCAGCCATGTTTAAAAATGACAGAAGATCCTACTTGCATTACGTTAGCTTCGCAGTTCATCTGCAGTCCAGCCCTCACCTAATTGTCTCCAAGTGATCTTGGCTGCCATACAAACTTTTTGCATATAGAAAGATTTGCTGCCCAGCATCCAACTGAGCTATACCATTAAAAAATAACAGCATCTCACAATTTCACATTTGATTATTTGTTTAGGAATGTATCTTTGTCGTTTCATGCAGTGTATTGGTGGATTAATGCCCACTTTTGACAATACCAGGTTGTCCAACTGTAATAACCTTGTTTCACATTTAATGCAGTGCTTTTAAACACTTGAGTAACTTGAGGATGTTATTTATTACTCTGCCTCCTTCTAATGGCCATTAATCCCTCGATCAATTGCGGAAAATGCAGCATGCTTCCTCTTATTCTCCTGATTGCTCTGAAATATGAAATGATTATTAATGGATCGATCATAAAAAACACAGACACGTTCAGACATCACAGAGTCATCACATAAACAAATACTGCATAATATTGATATTCCTCCTGAAAATGTGGGCTGCTCCTCTGCTTGCTGGTCTGGTGATGTAACTGTTGGGATAGGCTATCTCATGAGCCCCAATCCTAAAATCCTTCATCTGGGGTCCTTGCCACTATTAAAGAAAAAGCTGGCTGTAATGGGAACCTCAGGATGGGGGCGTTATTGGAAATTTTTAATTTTTGGAAAATTGCTGCTGCTAATGTAATCGTTCTTGTGTGGCACAACTGTGTGAACAGGTTTGCAACCATTATGAGGAAATGTAACTAAGATTACACCAGGTGTTTGGGACCCAAAGTTACTACTGTATGCTAAATCATGTCAAATGCTCCTACAAAAAATAGGTTTAGGCCTTGATATATGTTCTACTAACATGAATTTGACCCAACTCCGGGAGGCAGTGAAAGACAGGAGGGCCAGGCATGCTCTGGTCCATGGGGTCACAAAGAGTCGGACACGACTAAACAACAGCATGTTCTACCAGTTACAATTTTGAAGGCTCAGATAATGGTCTTATTGAAGGTTTTTTGTTTCTTTCATGAGGGGGAATATAAGAGCCTGCATCTTACCAACTTAGCATCCATATACTGCAGTGGAATGGAGCCAGCAACTCGCCATGGCTTTAAGTGAAAGTATTTTATATCCAATCCTTTGAAGTGGAGATGCCAAAGACTGAATCAGGGACATCTTGTATACAAAGCAGGTGCTCCATTGCTAATATATCTTTTCCCCCTCAAGAGTGATCAAGCTACTCAAAGATCACTTTGATTTCTTGCCAAAACTCCATAAGCACAGTAACTGTTTGTTCTAAAAAGCTGCAAAGGAAAAACAAACCCTTCTACAAGGGGGTGCTGATAAGTATTGAGCCTTTCCCAGAGAAAAATTGAGCTAGGAAGCTGTAACTGCCACACTATTCTACATATGTCCCCAGGAAGTCAATGCACTTGCTACATCTGCCCTGCATCTTCTTGAGCCCCAGCAAATAAAATTCCTCTGACTGCTGGTGTAACCACTCATTTGCAGCATTAATTGCCTCCAGAACACTCCCAAATTGTTGTCCCTTGAGTTTGGGGAACAGATAATAGTCAGAAGGAGCCAGGTCGGGAGAATAGGGTGGACATATCATCACTTGAAAGCCTAAGGATGTCAGTTTTGCCATTGTTTCACCTGTGGTGTGTGAAGAGGCATTTTCATGCAACAGGATGACACCTTTGGCGAGCTTTCCTCGACATTTTTACTTGATGTTTTGCCTCAACTTCGTCAATAAAGCACAGTAATATTTTGCATTGATGGTTGAATCCTGTTGGAGGTAGTCCACTAGCAGAACTCCCTGCTTATCCCAAAAAGCTGTTGCCATTTGCTTCTGCACTGACCTTTCCACTCAGAACTTTTTTGGCCTGGGTGAACCACTGTGCCTCCATTCCTTAGATTGTTCCTTTGTCTCAGGATCATAACAGTAGATCCGTGTCTCCTCACCAGTTACCAGTTTGCCCAGGAAATCTGACTCATTTCTTGCAAAATGTTCCAAAACAGCCACCAATTACTCCACACATTTCCTCATTTGTCCAGTTGTCAAAAGTTTGGGGATTTGCTGCCAGCTTTCTCGTTTCCAAGTCGTCATGGATAATGGGACCAACTCTCTCACATGATATTCTCAGATATATAGCAATACTTTTGGCTGATATTCAGCAAGTCCTCCATGATCATGTCATGGATGGCTTTCACATTTGCAGGCACAGAGACAGAAACGGGCCTTCCAGTGGGTTTCTCACTTTCAACACCGAAATGGCCATTTAAAAATTGACTACCCAATGTTTAACTGTTGCATATGAACGGCCACTGTCACCCATAGTTTGTGACATTTCATCATGGATCTGCTTTGCACCTTTCCCTTGGAGAAACAGGGACTTGATTATGGTCCTATGCTCTTCCACACTGAACTTTTCTGGAGGTGCTGCCATGGTCACTTTGGACCTGAACATGAAAGATAAGTTAAAATCATAGGTAGTTGTTTTTTGCACCATTGAAAACAGACAAATTGGCCAATGCACCCTGCAATGTATAGCTTCCTTTTCT